TCATTTTGAAAGTCAAGGAAGTAAAGATCTGCAGTATTTTTTAACATGGTTACTACTCTATTTCATTTTGAAAGTCAAGGAAGTAAAGATCTGCAGTATTTTTTAACATGGTTACTACTCTATTTCATTTTGAAAGTCAAGGAAGTAAAGATCTGCAGTATTTTTAACATGGTTACTACTCTATTTCATCTTGAAAGTTAAGGAAGTAAAGATCTACAGTATTTTTAACATGGTTACTACTCTATTTCATTTTGAAAGTCAAGGAAGTAAAGATCTGCACTATTTTTAACATGGTTACTACTCTATTTTATCTTGAAAGTCAAGGAAGTAAAGATCTGCACTATTTTTAACATGGTTACTACTCTATTTTATCTTGAAAGTTAAGGAAGTAAAGATCTACAGTATTTTTAACATGGTTACTACTCTATTTCATTTTGAAAGTTAAGGAAGTAAAGATCTACAGTATTTTTAACATGGTTACTACTATTTTGAAAGTCAAGGAAGTAAAGATCTGCAGTATTTTTTAACATGGTTACTACTCTATTTCATTTTGAAAGTCAAGGAAGTAAATTAGTATGTTAGATACTAAATAATTAGACTTATTCATTAACTATGAACACATTAATATCTGGGAACATGGAAAAACTGAACAATTCTGTTAGGACAGATTACTGTTAGGTAAAACATCTAACTTCACTGTCTTAACAAAATGTCAAATTAAAAAGATAAGAAAGATCTGACTTACATTTATAGCTTTTCTTCTCAATGACCTTAGTTAAAAATAGTGATATTTTTCTTAATTAATTTTAAATGTTTTACATAATTTTGAGTTATTTTTAAACTGTAAAACATCGATTTTATGCAAGTATGTGAAACTGAACTGTACGTAAAATCAAACAGTTCCATGGAAGTTAGAAAATCACTATAATAAAAAATTATATCAACAATGAATATCAAAAGTTACAGCTTATAACCGAGAGGTTAACAAATCACTATAATAAAAAGTAATATCAACAACGAATATCAAAAGTTACAGCTTATAACCGAGAGGTTAACAGATCACTATGATAAAAAGTAATATCAAAAGTTACAGCTTATAACCGAGAGGTTAACAAATTACTATAATAAAAAGTAATATAACAACGAATATCAAAAGTTACAGCTTATAACCGAGAGGTTAACAAATCACTGTAATAAAAAGTAATATCAACAACGAATATCAAAAGTTACAGCTTATAACCGAGAGGTTAACAAATCACTATAATACAAAGTAATATCAACAACGAATATCAAAAGTTACAGCTTATAACCGAAAGATTAACAAATCACTATAATAAAAAGTAATATCAACAACGAATATCAAAAGTTACAGCTTATAACCGAGAGGTTAACAAATCACTATAATAAAAAGTAATATCAAAAGTTACAGCTTATAACTGAGAGAAAAACCAAAATAAACAATACAGATAGGGTTGAAGCTTATAAGAAATAAAAATAAACAATGCACACAAAGTTGTAACTTAATGTATTAATATTTATCATAGTTGTTATTAAACACCTAAGTAAACAAAAAGTTTTACATATAACATTAATTTGAACATTTTTAATCATTGTATTTGCAAAGAACATAAGGTACACGTGCTCAAATATAGCTTGAAAGTGTAGTGTATTCTTAGTGAAATGCTTTGTACCGCTAAAATATCATGCAATGTTAGAACTGTTTGGTTATTTAACATTTCAGGAAAATCAACATCCTACTGTAAAAACAATCTGGATTCATTTCACAAGAAGTTTTGTGATGGGGGGTTTCATGAAGCAGATGGGACTCTAATGTTTCAACCCATAGGGCTGTTCAATGTTTTTTTTATAATTTAAAAGAAACAAAAGAACATTAAAATTCTATGAAGTGAAACCAATATAAAAAAGAAATAAAAGTACAGAAGATATAATGTTCAAACATTAAAAACTTCTTTAAATAAGTATCCCAAACTTCACTCTATTAATTATAATCCATACAATTATAATTAATTATTATTATTGCTTCCTATTTTAAATATGTAAAAATATTATTGACTGACATTTTTGGAGGTTTACAATTATCAAACTGAAGTACTTATAACCATCAGGTTATCAGATGAAGATCAATTAAGATTGTTTTCTTGAAATAAAAACTGTCAATCATTTTTACAAATGCAATATAATGCCATAACCTACCATAAGCACATAAAAATCATTTTGAAAAATGCACACGTTTTAAAAACGTTAATTTCCTGAGATTAATATTGAAAAATACACCAGAAACTTTGCTACAAAGTTATCTACACTTAACACTTATATGACTGCAAAATAACTATCACCAGTGTGTGTGTGCGTGTTTCTTGATCAGTGTAACTACACACCAAAAGCCTCATGCTTCAGACAACATGATGATCAAGAAACCAGTGCATCTTGTGTGACAGAACTGAATTCAGGTATATAAATATCATTGTAATCCAAAAATTCTGTTATTTTTCAACATGGTTCTAATCCATAAATTATGACCCCTGGGTTGACGCACCATAAAAAAACTTGTGTGAATTTTTAATACGGCTTTAAAATGTTCATTCAAATCAAGAACAGCATGTAGTACATTGTAATGTTTAGAGGTGTTACTTTCTAAAAAGTAAGTTTCAAGTATTTGACAAAAATAATGACACAGTGTCAATGAATCATCCACATAGCATAACATGTGCCTGATGAGTCCCGTTATTGGATAAAAGGCTTAGTTGGCTCTGGATGTGGTATATACATATATTTTAATCTCCTTTGCTTTCACTCATGAGTTCTTAGATTAAATAAGATAGACATATGTAGAGCATGGGTGCCCACGGAATTTTCTCTGGGGGTGGGGCAAACTGTAACTCAAAATAATCTAGATTACAAATGACTAAAGAAAGTAGTACATTTCATACTGTTACTGCAAAAACAAATTTAGTTTTCAAACTTACCAAAAATTCAATGTCATCAAATCCATTGATCAAGAAAAGGTTCTCATAATCGGACAGTCTAAGATGGCTTAACCACTCTTCAACGGTTTTGAATTTTTTCTCTTCTACTTTTTTTGAAGCTTCTGAAAGATATATTTGTATCTTTTTAATCTCCTGGTGATAATTACTGATCTTACTTTAATAATTATGAGCATGTTTTGTATAGTCGCAGCTACATTATTTACTATCCCTAGTTCTTACAACGTTTAATCTTAAAAAACAGTATTAAAAACAAACAGTCTAAAGTGGCACTCAGTACAGCATATACCTTCGCCATGCAGTGTTGATTATATTCAGCTCTTAAAAAATACAAAAATGTGTCCACATGCCTGTCATTTTCAGTGGATACAAGACCATTTTGGCATGACAATGAGGAATAATATTCTACCTAAGTATTCCAAGTTTCATCAAAATCAGATTTTTGACTGAGTTGTAGAAAAAAAGTTGTGTGAAAAATAGGTCCTCATGTTAACATATAGGGACTTTTTTTATTTTAGTGACCTTGCTGTGACATCGACCCTCCAAAAATTACTAATCACTTCTAAGTTGGGTCATAGTCCTAAGGTATATCAACTTTCATCCAAATCCATTCAGCTGTTTTTGAGAAATTTTGCTGACAAACACACACACACATCAGGGCTGAAAACATAACTTCTATCCACCACTGGTGGTGGAGATAAAAAAAACAAAGAATCTATAAGGCATATTACTGTCTTTGGTATTGCAAACTACAACATTCTATAACATCTGAACACCTTGTTTTTACCAACTTCACATTTAAGAGTTTTGCAACAACAAAAAACTGGAAGAAAATTTGCTTAACTTTATTTGTTTGCAGGTGAGAAAATGTCTTGAAACAAAGGTTAAGTTACATTTATTCCCCCCCCCCAATCCTATTTTATAATTTTTTGTATGACATACAAAAATATGTAAAAAATAATCCACACGTTCAGTTCCAATTTGTTTATGGAAGATAAAAAATAGCTTATCACGTTCACAAAGTGTGCCAAATAGTTGTTGTTGTATTAAAAAAAAACATTACTATATTAACTAGTACCTGCTATGGGTTTAGAAATTAATAGCTTAAATCTCCTAATTTGGCCAAACCTAGAGATATTATTGTGATAATGACTGCAAATGTCATTAATAGCGAGGGTTAAAAACATGATTTGATGCATTATGGTTTTAGATGTCTTTTATAACGAATACTGACATCGTGCATTTCTTGTCAGCTTGCTGATTAATTTATAAATCTTTAGATTTGATCTAAATAGTTAGTTTACTTTTAATTAGAAATTATTAATAAGCTCTTAAGAAGCAATAAATAAATTATAATGAACCTCTTATGGAATTGTGATGAGATATCCAATCTGAGTAAAACTGATAGATAATGGTCTTTTGATATTTTGGTTCAATGGAATAAAAATATATACCTGTATAAATTTGATTAGTATAATGATAAATTACAATAAAAATTGTTAAACAAATAGACGGTGTTTATTTCCTGGATGAGTATGGGAATCGTAAGGAAAACTGAATGTTCAAAATAGATGTTTCTTGTATTTTTGATGCGTATTTAGGATAGATGACGAGATCGTAACAGTTTGATATCCAGGATGGCTTCAATTAAGATACAATTACACGTGCAGACTTTAAAACACAGAAAATTAAGAAAATATTTTATAAAAACACGTCTAGTTACCAGAAATTATCAACACATCTGACATTTTGGAAATTCGTGCAATGGAATGGAAAAAATGCAAACTAAATTCTTAAAACTGCATTTGCACTATATACCAATAATGACCATAACAAAGATGTTTAACATTTATACCCAATCCAAGGATACAACCAAAGATTTCATGCATCTTATCTGAAATACAAAAATAATATGACAACTGCCAAAGGTTTATTTATCTAATTCTAGATTATACCTAATTTTACCATTACTTTTGATTTTATCAAATTGCCTATTGAAGTTTTAACTATTCCACCAATCATTTAACTCTTCCAGCACAGGCTCGGTGTAGGGGACCGACCTTGTAACCATTTTGTGCTATAACTTTTAAAATAGTAAGCATATGTTAACGAAATTTGGCAGATTATCAGTAAACATTATAATGCTTTCATGGGCAAAATATCAGATTTTTTTTTATTAAGTCTTAAGGTTTCTAAAGCAATGTTTTCTCATGCCTTTTTTTTTTCTTTTTGCATGTTGCCTATCCAACGTGCAAATTAATTTTCATTTTAAAATTAACAATCCTTTATGCATCAGAAAATTTTCAAATTTCACATGTGAAATCTTTATAATGTGCAGATATTTATCAAATGTTTCATGAGAAAAAAACTTCATATTTTATGTTATTTTCAGTAACGAATCTCTGTATAGGTTTGGTTAATTTGACCGATCTCGTAACCACGTAATTTTTTCTAAAAAAATTAGAAAATAAATATAAATTATGCCTTTTTC